TGCTTTATGTAGATCCAGAAATGGACTCTGGATTTCATAGTGCTGCTGCAAAACCCAAAGAAGAGGGAGTGGGGGAAGTTTGATGAAGCAATTTTGCTTTCTGTATGTTAAGAGTTGACCGGAAAACTCCTGTGTTGCCCTGACCTGCAATACAACAACCTGCAGTCAGTGCCTGAGACCTGAAGGGCAGGCGATACAATGGATATTTTCACTTTAACAAGGTAATCTTTGCAAGGAACTTCTTGGCTGTGTTTTAGGATTTCTGAAACACAGCAGAGTGCGCTGAGTCACAGTAATCCGGTGGGGACAGAAGTCCAGCAGGAGTTACAATGCAGAACAGAAGCTCACTGTGTTTCCCACATAGCTGCTTTCCTGCAGCTTGACTACTCACTGAGTAAACAAGCCTTTCCTAGCTGTGAGTAACGTTTAAAAAAATGTGCTAATGCTTATTAATCATCTCTTACTTCATCGTTATCCTTGCTGATTTACACAATAATGAGTTAGTTGTGTACTGTATTTCAATAACTTGTACAAATGTGCTCAATGTGAAATCCTGCTCACAGATTAAGGGTAGGATTTCCACGGACTTGAGCTGAATCAGGAATCAAATGTCTGCTCCTGTCAAAGGACAGCTTTCCAAAGCTTGTTGCTGGCACTTCATTCATGCAAAGCACAGAGCTTTATGCACTTCAGTGCTGAAACTTCTGTAGCCAAAGTTTAGATGAAACTTTTTTAATGGCATCCTTACTATGCTGTTAATGTGTTCCTTGCTTTTGCACTCTTCGGATACTCATCTACTCTAGTTATTTCACACTGTATTTATTTATTCATTACTATTCTCATGTCTAGTGCTCCAACTGTTTTAATTACCTTAGCATTTTGTTTTGTTTTCCCATTGCTCTGATAAAGTTTGATCTTCCTATTTCACTTATTAAAAGCGTCAGCAGTAGACTACATCAACTGGTGCAAAAACTGTCGTATCAGAACGGCATCTCCAGTGTTACTGCACTGTAAGTGCTGAAGTAGAAGAAGGAGAAGGTATGAACAGCAGAAATACTGTTCTGATCACTGCCACCACCACTGCAACAGAAAGAGATTACTCAGACATGCTGACTTTGTTTGCTCTGCACTGGTAGCGTTAACTGCGGGCTCTCATATACTCTGCTTTTGACTCAGCAATGGAAAATGGAGGGATAGTGCATTTGTTCAAAGCACGAAGAACTGAGGAAGAACTGTCCTGTGCTATCTTTCTGTGCACTGCTTTCAGCAGCTATGCATCACCTGTTTCACTGCTGCATAAATTATACGGCAATTTAGGCAGCATACGGCAGCTGATGAGGTAATAATCAGGATGGCATTACATCAACTCCTAAAAACAGCTTCACATCCTTCTTATTTAAAAAAAAAAAAAAAAAAAAAAAAAAAAAAGTAATGTATCAGGGAAAGTCTTTGTACTTATTTTAGCGTAAGATACACTTTCATTTTATGGACCAGGTCTTAACAGCATCAATCATAGCTTAAAAGAGAAGTCAGTTGAAAAAAGTACTATTTGACATTGTTGGGATCTTCATACTTTGTCTCTTTCTTCTTCGTCCCTCCTTTTCTCTGCACTCGCCCTTCCTCACTTTAGGCAGCTCTGCAGGAGGAGCCACAGAAGTTTCCAGTTATGCATCAGGCTTCATGTGTGACAGCATTTCAGGATGCTGGGATCAGTGCACCTACAGATGACAGATATATCTCCAAAGGTACTGGACTGAAGGGAGTAATAAGTTCTTAAGGCAGTACAAAAAGAGAAGTGTAGCAGAAATGCTGTCACAGCCTGAACCAGTGATTAAGCACCCAGTGGGAAGGCAGGGCCACCAGGGAAGCTCAGGTGTATGCAATGCAATGCACCTGAGTGATGGGAAGGGGTGGAGCCAGGATCCACCCCTTTCCAGACCTCATTTAAGGGTTGGCAGTGGAGGCAAGAGTATCTTGCTGGAGATCCCTGTCTGCCGCAGGTCTTCTGAGGGTAAGCAGATTCTTTCCTTTGTTTCTGTGTCTACAGCTGCCACATTTGGGCATATCTTCAGTTGCTGTAGTGTAGGACTTTGCTACTATGGTGCCATTACTGCACTTTCCATTGCATTACAGTGTTAAGTGTAAGGCTTGAACTCCCTTGGTAGAACTGGGATATGGAATTGCAGCTTTGATCCTCCTCTCTGCTCTGGTTTTATGGTTTAAATAATCAGCTCATTTTCGCTTGTCTGTATGTATATATACTACTTCTGGCGTTTTCACTTTATTTTCAGTTAAGTTCTCCTATATCAAAAAGGACCATTTCAGTTTCCCAAAGTGCAGTCCTCAGGAGCTCTATGACCTGTAACAACTTTGTATTTCAGCAATCTTCAAAATAGTAGCGACTTAAATTCTCTTTGCTGTTGTGGGTTTAATAGTCAAAAACAAAATTCCAGTAACATTGTACGTGCAGTAAGACAAATCTCATTTCTTGTATTGCAACAAAACATGCATTGCCATCTGATGCTTCCAGTAGTTCCTGTCATAACTTGTCTTCACAGAATGATTTCATAGAATACACAACAGCTTGTTAGATGAAATCTGCTTTTTTTTTTTTTTTTTTTGACTGAATCCAGCTGTATCATCTGTTGGGGCCCTTAAACCTTAGCAGAGGTCTGAAAGCCACACCTGGCACTGATGCTTCTGGAGCTGAGTGACATGGTTTAGGAGTTTCAGCGGAACTCACTGATATTCAGTTGAACTTGACACGCTTGTCTGTTTCAATCAGTGCATTTCAGACACTCCCCCCTCCCTTATGTATATCAGATATTTTACACAGACTGCTTGTAAATTCAAGAGATGATGAACTGCTTATATTGTACCTGTTACTGAGCCAGGTCTGCTGCTTGCCCACAGTCAGTAAGGGCTACATTTTAGTGTACGGATGACATGGTGTTGCAAGTGACCACTGTACTGGATCAAGCAGTCCAGGAATCTAAATATAAATAATATGGAAGTTCTAAGTGCGTGTTGCAACATCTCTCTGTATATGGTTAACAGCAAGAGGTTTTTCCTTGCATTCGTTCCCTCCAGAAGGATAAAGAAGCACAAGGGAAAACTAATGATTAAGAAGGCAAACCTTTGCCACCCAGACAAACTCTAGTAGAGAACACCTTGTAAGCTATGGTAAGACTAACGTGTGGTGGCATATGCTCCTTAGGAGCTTTGTTATCTCAAAGCTATGCAGAAATCTCAAAGTAATTCTTTTGGCAACACTATTTTAATACGGTATCTGCCACAATCCCACATCTGTAAGGCAACATAGCAAAGGTAATTCTTAATGCATTAAGTTCGTAGGTTGTGAACGTGGCACTAAGTGCTCAAAGTCTCCTTGGAAATGAGTGTTTGCTGGTAATGTTTTCTGGTGTAGAAAAATCTCAGCAGGTGTCAGGTTTCATTCTAGCAGGAAGATGTCTGTGCACACCTTCCTGCATGGAAAGGCAGGGGACACAAATAATTCTCCTGGGATGTGGATCAGCATAGAAGCTATATTCTATTTTCAGAGCTCTACTGGAATGTTTCCAAGACCACCATGACAAAACTACTTCAGTATGGGTGGTAAACATGTCTCTACTGTTACTGCAAACTTTTCTGCACTGTTTGCTATGCATTCTTCAGCTACTGTTTCTTGAGTGGAAGGATTCTTTCTGCACTACCACCCCATCCTTGGACCCCTCACTGGATATACAAGTGGAAAAAGGCAAACAAATCATGTGCTCTGTTAAGCAGATACTATTCACAGGGTGGAACCTGCAGATCATCAAAGTAAGAAATAATCTGATTGTTATATGAGAGCTGAACCACAGCATAATTCTTTAATAGTTTGAGCCTTGTCACTTTATCGAGCTGCTTCCAGTTACAAGGAAGGAAATGCCTGCACTGCCATGGGTGAGACAGTCACTACTGGAAAGATGTGGGGCTGGAGTTAGTATCCTTAAATAAAGAACTAATTAACTATTTAACTATAATGAACTGAGCATTAACTGCTTTTCTTAAGGCTGCTTGTGTTCTTATATAAGAAGGACCACACATGACATGGCAGTATCTCTCTCTCCACCATCTGCTCACAATACATTGTAAGTATATGGAGGTATTAATCCCAAAGTTCAGGTACTTTCACCTAAATAGCACTTGAGAGTCCATGAGGAGGAGCTCTGTTTTTAACTTTTTCTGATCAGTGCCTTTTTTTAGTGTTGAGATGTATACAACTTCAGTCAAACTAATAAATTAAAAGTTACGTGTACTTCTTGTCTTCCAAAGTTAAGAGAGCCAGCAGCACTGACAGTAGTAAAATGAAGTGTTATATTAACAGGACAGATATCTGCATATCAAGCCTAAAACTTGCATATTACACCAAACTGAACATTAACAGACTTATGCAGCTGCTGTTTTTCCATCTAGTTATAGTTCTTCCCTAACACAGGCTTTAATAACAGCATGTTGTAGTTGCTAGCATGATTTGATTACTAAAGTCTTTCATAAGCATGCATGTTTTATATAAACTAGTATTTGGTATGCTGAAGCTTTTAAGGCATTTTAAACTGCAAAAAAATGAAACTTCAGGGTATCTTTCTTTCCCTGAATAGTACCTGTTGATGCCTTACCAACCGTATGCAAAAATCAAGCTGTAGTCAAGAGAAGAGCTCACCTTCTCAAAAGTTTACGTTCACGAGCAGCAGTTAAAACTTATGCTCAGATAACAGCTCTGGAGTAAGCAGAATTCCTACCCGTTCAATAGTAATGTTGTAAATGAGGATTCATCTCCTTTCTTGTCAGTGAAGTCTCGTATCAAAAATCACAATTTACACTGGAATTTTTTTAGTTAACAGTAATTCCTGTTAAAACCTTTTTTAATATGGTCTTGATTTTACTTCAATAGTATGAGCGGTGTTTCTCTGTAAAATTCACTTCCTTATTGTGTAGAAAGTAAAGTCAACTCACTGTAAGAGTTCCATAAAGTTCCTTTATTGAGTAAATCAAGTGTGTACACTTCAATGAATAGACAATTTCCATTAGCATACTAAATAGGTTTATAATATCTAGGATTCTGTCTTGCCAGAACTTTAAAAACTGGCTGCTGTAAGCATAAACCATTAATCTTACAAGATGATCAGCACTTAAGGGTCTCTGTATCCCACAGCAGAGCACATCTGGATGAAGTCCTACAAGAACAACGGTGGTACTGCACTGTAATTATGTAAAAAAATAAATAATCATCTACTTCTCAACATACAACTCCATAGCAGATATGCAGTCATTCACTTTGAAGACACTCCTGTAGGACTGCAAGTATTTCATGACAGAGTGTGATTTATTGGGAGAGCCTATTCCTGCTTGCAGGAACCCACCAGCTTTCAGGTGAGTTTTAAGTTGATCCTTGGAAACTTCACAAAGCCAAAAGAAGGTGTGTTATAGCTGTCTGCAAGTACGTAGCATAAGTACTTAACTGAATGTAAAGAAGTATGTAACACCTCCATCCTAATTGTAGGGAATTTGATTTTAGTCTTGGAATTTTTTTCAGTATTTTCCTTGTAAGTTATCACAACGCTAGTATCAACAAAATGACACGTGTGCCTTGAAATACAGTATTTCACAATACTGAATTCCAGTTAATAGTACTATGCTCAAGTCTGTACCAAATTTGCTGAGACACCAGTTTCATTAAACCTCAGTATGCTTAGACACAGCTTCATTTCTCTTCACATAACAAAGCTGCAGAGGTTAGGATGGAGCCAAAATGGTCCTGGTGTTATAATAAAGCCCTAAGAAAGGCAGCAGGTTGTACAGTTACCTCCTTGTGAGCAAAATCCCTGCCCTAGAACTATGCAACCTACTACCTCTTCCTAGGAGCCCAATGCTTCCTTTTTGCAGTTCTTCTTGCTTAGCAGCTGCTTTGTGAAGTCAGCTTAGCTTACCAGCTGCTTTTGGTCTTCTGCATTTTTAGGCCAGGGCATGTACTGCAAGTTTACAGTTAGCACTGTTTAACAAGTGGTTAACTAGTAACACTCCTGGCTTAAATACTCATTAATGGCTCCATTTTCACTCTTACTATGCTAAACTTTCAGTCCCAAAAAGTGTTTTCATGTTTGTTTGTTTTTTTCTTCCTTGTTATAGGAAGATATTAGTTAGTTAGTCACTCTAGGGCAGAAGCAGCTAGATGGGGTACAGCTAAGGCTTACTGGGGAAAAAGAACACAATCTCTAAATGCCTTCTTCTAGAAACAGTAACCTCTTCAGACAAAAGTTACAATTTTGGATCTTGAGCACTCAAATTTCATAGCTTTACATTCTTCTAAACAGTTGAAGGGATGCATTTTGGCCATACAACACTTTAATCTTTGTATTCCATTGTTTAAGTCTCACTTGCTAGAAAAGCTAGAGAAAAATAAGCAGACATATTAATGAAGTATAACTGTAAGTTTTCCAGCTTCTACTGAACAGTCACATAACGTTAATGTATTACAGAAGTTAAAACAGTTTATGTCTTGGCTCAAGCTCATACATTGTGACTACTTTTTAGATTCAAAACCAAATTGTTTTAGAATGATTTCCAGTCTATGGTGTATTCAGTTCTATATCTACTAAGAGATGCATTGTTGATGTCCAGACAGTGCTGTGCCACTCACCTTGGAAGAAAAGTCATATTAGTCAAATACCGTTTGGGGTTTGCACCACTCAAATTGACTGTTAATTAGTGACAGAATTTACAGGATTAATTTGATGCTTTACAACCCTAAACTTATCTGACAAATCTACTTTTAGTCAACGTGGAAATGAACGACAGCAAAGGACCGCAGTTTGTTTTACTCCTCAGGGAAGGCAATAGATTGTATAGTTATCTCCTGAACAGGGTAAAATAACTACCCTACAACTATACAATCTACTACCTCACTCTGACAGAGAAGCATGTACTTAAGCTCTTTGCTGAAGTAGCTAACCACAGTCTCATTCTAGAGTATTAATATTTGATGCTTCAGTTAGCAAAGTTAACGCAACTTATTAGAACATCAACCATTTGTCTTTGATTACCCCACCTTAAAGGAATCAATCTGTTCTTACACTTTATCCTTAGAGAAGATAAATTAATGTAGAGAATTAGAAAAATCCAGAAGTAATTACCTGTAGATGTTGCAGAAATATTTGTCTCCTATAATAAACACTCCAAGTGCAGAAGTTTGGTAGAATCTGACACTGAACTTAAAATTGAACAGTCTCCATTGTTGATTTTTCTGCTGCTTTAGGAAAGACAGTAGATTGTATAGTTATCTCCCAGTTGTGGGTATGACCCTAAAACTATACAACCTACTACCTCATCCCACAGTGCAGGCATCTTCAGAGGTGATGTCCAAAGAATGGTGCTTTAATAAAAACAACTTAAGTGAACTGCAGACATTTACAGTGTACAATACTGGTCACAGGGGGGAAAAAAAAAATTCCCCTCTCTCTCCAGTCATGCAATAACGTTACTGTAAAGATTCCTTCATTTCAAAAGTTTACCAACTGTTTGGGTCTTAATGTATTTAATCTTTAGACAATCTTTAGCAAGCTGCAGCAGTCATAGCAACTGTAGTCATTAAATTTGTCTGTTACAGGAAAAATACTACTAGCATTCCACACATGTAATCTCTCATCTGAAATATAAGAAAATGTCTATGAGCAACATCATGCAGATCTACATTTCTTCAGAAGTTAAAGTAATAAAATCTAGGATCATAACCATGCAGCTGATTTACATGGCTCAGTCTAAGACCCTAATATTTATAATTCTTAAGAAATCACTATTTTTTATTCTACTTACACTATTTTAGAAATATTATTTTTAATAAACTTATTAAGGCCTTATAACATAACATTAATTGTTAAACTGCCTTACCAAAACGCCACTTAAAATATACATTGCCTTAGATCAGAAACAATTGGGCTCCTCTGACTGCTCCTGATAGAGCTTTAAAGCCAATTTCTACATTACCAGAGCTCAACGTGACCTCAAGCTAAAAAGTCTTACAATACTGAAATCAAAATACTTGCCAGATTGATGTGACTTACAGTCCCCTTCTTAGCAAGGACATCTTGAGAACAGAGCTGAAGAGGAAAACTGATCATTTTATCAACATAATTTCTAAGGTAGCTGGAAGTGTTTACTGAAATGCAGATTTCCAAACATTAAATACATGTACTCATACTTCATCCCAATTCTGAACTGAGGTTTTTAGACCAGTCATCAAACAAAGCCTTGATAGAACAAGAGCTCTTAATGCATGTTAATGTCCCTGCCAAAAAAACACAACGCGTGATCCAATGCATTAATATACAAAGGGATGACGTTATTCCTTAAGCAGAGAAAAAAATAAAAGTACTTCCCGGCCCCCTCAGAGCTTTACTCCAGAATCCTTTGTACAAATATTGATGACAAATTTTGGTGAATCACATTTAAAGTCTTGCTTGTAACCACTTACAAATCAGAACGCATGCTTCTGATGCACATGGACACAAGCAGTTGGTCCTAATGTCCGAAACAGAAATAAATTACAACAGTAGCGCTGTGACAAAGGCAAATGACAATGAAGCACTGAGACATATCACATCCTTTGAATTAGCTTGGTTAGACATCTTTCTGTCAAGCAAATATTTGGTAAGGATGCTGACAGTCCTTTCAGAGTCTCTTATTCCTACATGCAATCCTTCCCCAGCTGAGCAGAATTGATGCAAGGAGCCCATTCCTACATGAAGAGGCACTGCTGAGACCTCTGCCCACTCAGCCTTGCTATAGAGAATGCTGCCTTGCTGTTTTCAATCTGTCATTTAGTGAATCCATGAAGTCCAAGGCATTTCAATTCAGGTGGATCTTTAAGGTGAAGCTGCTGCTTCTCTGATGTGCTGAAAATGTTTTAAGCGCTTTGGAAAAGCTAGACAGATGTTACTGTACAAAAAAAGGTATTTAAAGAATATAAAGCGTATAAAATACGTAGGATACTTGTCAGTTTCCTTTTTTAAAATGAACCCAGGAGGATACTAAAATTACTGTACATATTATAATCTGTAGCATTTCACCACCCATAGATGGAGTTATCTAAAAGCCTAAAAAGCTTTTATTATTATTATTGCTATTGGCAGTAGGACTTCTCAATTAAGTTCTGTTATAGGAAATTCTGAACTATTTTCTACTGCTGCCGTAAGACTTTCCTGTTAGGTATGTGCAGCTTCTGGAGCATTTGTCTGCTTTTAGCTTCCAGAAACAAAATCCTTTCATTATTACAGGTCAGGAAGGGCTATCTATTACTTAAGGTCAAAAATGTCCTTGAAAAAATGTTTTGAATGACATCCAATTGTTATCTTGTGGTTCTGTGCAACAGTCTGGCTTGAGATCGATGGTGAACTGCACACAGGGCACTAGGAAAACCTCATTCTGCAACAAATACACCTTATGAAAGATCATCACATATCCTGCCTTTTAGCTACAGGAGAAAAGCAGTTTTATTGATGGTACGTTACTCTGGTAGGTACTTACTGTCTTTTTTACTATTCTGTTTAATAATAGAAAGGTATAAAATTAAAAGAATCAAAAATTCTAGTCCAAACTGTCTCTTGAAGGTGTTGTGTGACATTCATGCAGAATCTAACCCAGCAGTGCTGTGCTTCACACCAGTTCTGCAGTTAATGGTTATTTCTATCAGCTTCTAAAAATGATCTTACCTAAGTTGCATTGTCTTTTCAAGGAGTGAGAACTGCCAGGCTTCCCTGATGTTACACATTACGTATTCCTGGCACACGTGGGCAGAGAAGCTTGACATGCTGCATGCCTGATAAATTATGCTCCTGGCACAGCCTCTACTGATTTGGTATCTTCTCAGCTTCATGTGAATCTGCTATGGCATACATCCTTGTACTGAAGTCACCATGCTGATGATATCATACCTGAGTACAGCAAAGTTTGTGCTGCCACCAGCACGCTCACTACTTTAGCAGTAAACACTTCATGATTTTTATATTTCAAGAAATACATATTTCCTTATCAACTGCTGTGTTCAAAGTAGTGTTTTTCCAGTCACCACGTGCTTGTATTTAAAAATCTGCGAAGCAGTAAAAGTGAAGAAAATGGTACTGTAATTGTGCAGCTATCACGGAGCATTGAATGAAGCTCACCAGGTTCACTGCCAAAACTTTCTCTAATGATCTGGCCGCTGCAGCCCAGGGCTGAGGGCCCAGCCTGTGCACAGTGCACAGCTTTAACCACGTGGAGGAGCTCTAGCATTCGCATTACAAGCACTACCACCAACGTCTGGTGCTTTTGTCCTGTAATTTTAGTAGCATCACCTGCATTGGAGCTGTACTTTGACTCCCACTGACACTTCTGGTGAGGGAATTTCTGCCACCTTCTCCAGCCCCATATGAAGACCCCACACATCAAGCTTCCACAGTGAGTATGTGCAGACTTACAAACTTGCTTTTTTTGGATTGGGGGGTGTTGGGGATTGGACGCACAATAGCGTGATTAGAGCAAACTTAATTATCCTCCACACTGCTTCCCCTCAGCTGCCCCTATACTGCTGTCACACACTACATCCACATCTCATCGCTTCTTCCAAAAGAGCCTAAGATCACATAATTACTGAAACAAAAGCTATAGTTAGTGTGAGTTAAAAACTCATCTCTATTCAGTTTTGGATTGTACTTTTTTTTTAATACTCTGCTCGTTTTGATGAAGCCTTACTCCTACTTAGCATCCAAGAGAAGTGACAAAGTAGAATCTAAAGAGGCACTAGCTTTCTGAAGAATGCTTTTAATGAGTTTCCTGAACTACCTGTATATATTTGAAACCTGTGGAACAGTTCTAAACTGTATAGGAAAAAAAAAACCACTGAAATTTACATGTTCTCAGTAGCACACAGCACAACAGCAGCATTCTTAATCGGTCTGTAACCTGTGGAACAGAAGGAAAAATAGCTCAAGCTATAGTTACAGTCTGTATCTCTTACAGCATGGAAGGGATAAAGTATGACTTATTATAATGAAAGTTCCATTTCATTTCAGTGTGACCCTAAAAGATGAATGCTTTATCCTCCCACTTGACTTTGTCAATTTTGCAGCACAGAATAAATAACCTGAAGCTGAAAGGATGTTTGTAAAGCAACACTTCTTATCCTAACTGTGCTTTACTGACATCTGTTGTTATGTGGTGTGGAGATAAACAGATGCATCAATTTGAGGTATATAATGCTGTAGTATGTCCTTCTACAAAAAGACCATTTGGCAACCACTTGTAACAGCTTGTTACCAAAGACTATTTCACTCTAATGTTTAAATTCAACTTCAAAAAACTCAGTGGATAAAATTAAGCACAGCAGAGAAGACGAAGCTTTAAGTTTAAAACAAACAAATAAAAATCATGTATAGTTAGGACTAAACCAGATGAGTTTCTTTTTTTTCTTTGTGCCAAGCAAATTCACCTACAGTGAAAATAGGCCCCCTCCAAGAAAGCAAACATGCTTTAATCAGAACGCAAGATGTGGTGATGAAGGCCAGAAGCCTTTCTAAGAATCATCTGCTTATGGCCAAAACCTTAAAATTTAGTATTATTAGTATTTATTTGGTATGTATATTATTTTTAGTATTTATTTGGACACGGTAGTCAATTTAGCAGCAATACACTGAGTATAAGTGTAAACGTGCACGCCATACAAATCACTGATATGCTTTAATTCCAGATATGAGCAGCACCAAAATCCATGCAGCTGGGCAGGGTTAAGTGTCCACTAGATTAATACTTTGGAGAGTCATCAATAATGTCTATATCTTGTGCCTCTATCAGAAATGCCAAACTTTTTCAAAAAATCTGCATCCAACTTACATTTAATTGCTTTAATATAAAGCACCCTGGTTTTGAATAATCATAACATGAAATATTACTGGTTATTCCATTTGCAATTATTATGTTTGATTTTCATTTATTTTGCTGGCCATGTCGTTACAGAAGGAATATAAATATCCAGAAACACAGCTTGAAAGAAATTAGGAATCACTACTGCCCACTCATGCATGGAATGAAGCACATCTCCTGCAGAAAAGTAAAGTATGTGATCATGATTAATAATTTTGAACGTGAACAAAGAATGACAGGAATGCAAATTCTAGCAACATCCTCTGCATGTACTCAGTTTTTACGTTAGTATTAAACTATCTGCATCTAAGTGAGCATTAATTCTTTAGTTCTCAAAGCAAACTACACAAATGAATGCTACATATTCTACTGTAAATTTAACCCTTTCTGTGCTATTCAAAACTAAGCCCTATCGATGCATTTCAGTAACTTAGCGTTTAGAAATCGCCTCTTGTTATGCCCATAAACCCAAAACTCTGCTCCAATTAGATTCCTTTTTTTTTTAAAATGGTTTGGTGTTTGATAGAAACCAAAGAAAAAGGAGAGAAAAAAAAAAAAGACTGTGCTGAGTGTTAAAATCAGTGCGTAATTGAGTGTTAAAGAGCAGAAGCCAGGTTTGTTATTTACTACTGCACAGCTACAAAACAGCAAAGCACCTGCCACTATTTCAGTTGACAATGCAGAATGGGAAAAAAAGGTCTGTTGAGGTTTCTAAGCTTTTACAAATACTTTCTGAGTACGTAAGGCTGTGCACGCACACAAAGACTCACAGATCTGTGTAAAGATGTTGGGAGTGTACTGAAAATGCAACAGAAAACTCGTGTGTAACGTGCAATTTGAACTCATCTTTTGCAGATATGAATGCAAGATCCTGTGACATGACAGAAAAATCAGGTTTTCATATTTCCCATTCAGCATACATTAAGTATGTAGCATACAGTGGGGTACAGCCTTGGCAAGAGCTTCAGCAACATGAGGTAATGCAGTGCAGTAAGGGAAACAACTACACTGTGATGTCTTATTTTCACAAATCCTTTTGAATACATTTGTCAGTCAGTACACTGGCAGTAGAAACATGGATATGAGCATACTGCAGATAGCTACGGCTCCAAATGCCATATGGTTCTCAATAGAAACCATCACTTCAGTTGTTTGATCCTGCTTCAAACAGGAATGTGCATTTTATTACCAATAAATGCATGTGTATTTATTCACTAGATCTGTTTCTCTTAGGACATGGTACATTGGGAAGCGTGCAATGCTTTTGTTCCAACAACCCCAGTCAGTTTATCAGAATGCAGATAACTAAGGGAAAAGTGGAAGAAATATAGGATTGTTTTTTACAGACGAAAACTTACTGATACTTTATTGGCAACATGACCAAAACATTTATTTGTTTTTCTCCATAGGTTGTTTTTCTCCATAGAATAGCAATTAAGAAAGCCGTTTTACCTATTAACAGCATGTTACAGGAAGCTTGTTTTATATTAACATGCAATCTTTATGCATCTAATAATTACACCAATTCAGCAAACATTCAAGTTAGTACACATAAGAACATTTCCAATAATGCTGTGTTATGTTATTAATTGACAACATAATTTGACATCTTTTGCCTCTTCTACATCACGGGAGCCTTTTATCTGCAAATGAAATGATGCTTCCACTGCCAACAGAGGAAAATACAGAAGGTATTTATCAAAAGGAAAGTGAAAATAAGGATATACTTGGTAGTAGTGACAGACAAAGTAATGGAATGATGTGTCTGTTTCCTTCTGCCAAGTCTCTTGTCTTATGTAATGTAACTTCCTAATACGACTATATGCATCGATTCTGCATTTTAAGATATTTGATTTATAAAAATATCAACCCCAATACTGCTAATTAATAAGGTCATTTTCATGAACATAGCTATTATGGAGAAAAAAAGAAAAAAAAATCTCCTCTTGAAAGTTGATTACTGGAGAAAGGCTGCAGGGTTTGGAGCAGCAGCTGCAATGAGCCCAGGGAGCTGCAGCTGTCCCACCGCAGTCCCTCGTGGGCATGGGGCCCTGGGAGCTGCTCATCTCCAAGAAATGGAACTGCTCACCTACTTCAGAGAGCGGCGGGGATGCCCTATTCATTAAACATTGCTAAATAACAAAATGTTATTGATTCTGAAAGGACAGGCCCATTTCCCCAAGTCCGGATATGCGCTGGCTTTGACCCCGCGTTGTCTGGCACCGTTCTGCAGGGTCACTCTGAATGTTTTAAGCGAGGCAGTTTCCCCGCTACTGCTTTTGTTAGCCAACTAACTGCCTGCACTACCAGTGCGATTAAAGAGAAGCACAAAAGATGCGCAGAAAACAGATCTATCAACGAGGCTTAACAAACCTCCCGCACCGGGCTGAGTGCCCACTCCCACACCAGAAATAAGGCCCGGGGAGCCGTGCAGGGTGCCGCGTTTCCCCCGCCCCGCGGCGCGGTTAGGCTCCATAAGCCCGCTACCAGCGCGCGGCCGGCCGCCGCTCAGCCCCGACCGAAGGGTTCCGCTGCCATGTGGCCGCCGTACGGCCGCGCGTCCCTTCCCGCCGCGCGCCGCCCGCGGCGCGCTGCGGCCCTCAGCCGCCTCCCCTGGGCGCGCCGGGCCCCGACCGCCCGCTCCCCGCACGGCCCGGGCCCCCCCGAGGCCAAGGTCTCCGCGGCCCACACACTTGCTAGCGGAAGTGACGTACCCGGCGCTGACGGCATCCGCAGCCTATCCCCGGCGGGCGGCGCGGCCGGGCCGCCAATCAGGAGCGCCCGGGGGCGGCACTTCCGGGCCTTCAAGTTAGTCTGAGGAGAGAGGGGGGGAGGGAAAAGGGGGAATAAAAACGCCTCCATTACGGTAAATAAACCGCCCGCGGCCCGACGATACGAGGGCCCCGCGCGGCGGCAGCGACCGCACAGCGCTTCCTGCCGCGCCCCTCCCGTAACCCGCAGCCCTGGGCAGCACCCGCTGTCGGGGCCGCGCGCCGAGCAGAGCGGTCGGGCTGGGCCCGCAGCGGGACGAGGTCCAATTCCCTCCTTCTTTTCCTCCTCCCGCCGCGCCCGAGACCCGGGCGGCCCGCAGCTCACCGCCCGCCCGCGCGGAGCCGGGGCCGCGCCCGTTACCTGCCGCAGGGTGACCCGCAGCCGCGCCGAGACCCGGATGGAGTCGCGGCCGCTCCTGCCGCCGCTCGCCGCGCGGCACCACGGGAAGGCGCGACGCGCCCCGTGCCGTCCGCCCCATTGGCCGACGGGCGACAGGCGCCGCCCACGGACGCATCCGGGTAGGGGGGCTATTCGTCCATCATCTCCCCTCTCGCGTTCTCATTGGGTCTGGCACCGCGCGGCACCGCCTCCACCTGGAATGATCTTTTTTCATTGGGTGGCGGGAAAAAAGGACCCGCCTCCCTCCGCCATTTATTGGAGGCGGCATGGGTGCACTCCTAAAATGGCGCCCCCCGGCGGCGCGGCAGGGGTTGGCGGTGCGGGTGGGGCCGCGCCGCGTTTTGTCCCATTGCCCCGCGGATGCCTCAGCCTCATCCCTCGAGTCTCTTTCCGTGTGCCCAGGGCTGGCCGAGGCCTTATCGGCAGCGCACGTGCTGCTGCTCGCAGGGGTGGGGCTGGGCCCGGTGTCGGCTGCGTGCTGAGCTCTGGGAGGGCAGTCGGCGGCTGGAGCCCTTCTCGCTGCTGCCCCGCCGCTTACAGGCGCCGCATCCCGGCTGCGTCCAGCCGCGGCCGCTTGCTTCGCGGACTTGGCGGTTCGGCTGGTTCGCACAGGGTACTTAAGTTGAGAACTGACAGAGTGGTTGTGAAGGAGTCTGGAGCTTTGAGATAAACCGATGTGGATCAGGATTATCTCAGCTAGTCCACGTTTCCAAGCACTGCGCACCGGGCCAACCAGTTTGTCACCTCTGTAACTGTGTTGGTCCAAACATTTTTTCTACTGCGTTCCTGATGAGTTTGCATGGCTTGGGGGTACGCAGCACCTGTAGGGCACGGCATCTTCCAGAGGAGGTGGTCCTGCAGCCTGTGTGTTTTTGTGGGTTGGTAAAAGCTCCTAGAGGTAAATGCTGAGTTTAAGATCAGCCTTCAAATGCAAAACTTTTTTCCCACGTTTCTTGATATATCCTATTGGTCAATGTTTAATCTGAGTGATTGTTGGCTAGAAAAGAGTAGGCTTAGTGAGACCTCACTGCTCTCTGCAACTCTGACGTGGTTGTGGCGAGGTGGGGGTTGGCCTCTTCTCCCAGGTAACAGCAACAGGATGAGAAGGAATGGCCTCAAGCTGTGCTGGGTGCTAGGAAGAACTTCTCAGAAAGAGTGGTAAAGCTTTGGAATGGGCTGCCTGGGGAGGTGGTGGAGTCACTGTCCTTGGAGGCGCTCAAGAAGATGTAGGTGTGGCACTGAAGGATGCGGTCAGTGCATGCGTAAAGAAGCCTTCAATCTTCGTTAACAGGCTTTTCTATTCTTTTGAGAAATGTTGTAAATCACAAAGGTTTTGTGATTTCTTGACAATTGTAAGAGTGTAGAATCTGTATGGTTAAGCCCTTATGCATGTGGTGTCCCATCGTGCTTTACCAATGGTTATTTTTATCACGAATGTGAGGAGGGAACATGGGGCCTTGTTTTCAGTGACTAGAGTGGCAAATGGTTGACTGTGAGCCAGCTGGTTGGCCAGCAGAACAAAGGAAGGAGCAATGCTTCCAAAGCCAAAAGTTAAACCCAAATGCAGTTTTCATCCTTGTTCAGGTAAAACTTTGTTGCATAAATTTTGCCAGCTGTTAATTTACATTTTAATTTTCACATTCAGGTGTACTTTGATTCATTCTCTGATGAATACAGAAGCAGCAGCACTTGGTTGGGTGAGAAACTTCCCTCAAGCCTCGGCCAGGCATCTTTCATAGCTCCTGCATTTCCACTGCCGGTCACAAGATGGGGTCAGAACACCCAGGAACGAAGCGTGTTGCTCTCAAGCACGCAGCAGTGACGAGCTGTCTCAGCACTTACTCTGTGTCGGCTCTGAGATAGTTCTTCTTGGCACACAGACAGCAATTACTAGAAGTATCCGTTATGGAATTTAATATGTAAATTCAAATACACATTTCTATTAATTTCTGGTGTCTATAGTGAGAATTGCTGGAAAGAGCTAAGGAGGTTGATTCCAGCTGTGTGATAAACGAGAAGAGACACAGAAGCATTTTTCAAAAATGAAGCATTCTACAGATGACACATTTATTTACAGAGCAGGAAATATTGAGTGGAGATATTCTCCCAGGCCTGCTGCATAGCCTCAGGCTTGCTGATTCATGGGTGGCCGTTGTTGATTACACCCATAATTGGAAAGGCACATTGGTTTTGGTTTAGGAAAGAGAAATCAGTTGCTGAAGTTGACAGTTTTTTCTTCAGAAAGTGAATTGTTCTATCACTTTCTGATAAACGTTAGACTTAGACTCTATCTAGGAATGCCAGTCTGTCCATTTTACTGGAATGCTCATGATTTTGGACTACTGAATGATTTTCAGTAGCTAGGTAGTTGTTTTGAAATTGATTGGGGAACGTTGAAAGGATGTGTCTTGAAAAGTCATATTCTAGGAACAGTCTTTGATTTTGTGAAACAGCCTGAGTAGTTCTGCTCACCTTACTCTGTTTTCAAGGCCAGATGGCAAATGGAAAGTTTAAAGCCTTTTCTCCAGCTAAAAGTGGACCCAGTCTTGGAGATGCTGACAGTAAACACTGTGGACAAATACAGTTGGTATGAGAACAGAAGAAAGTAGATGTATAAACCAGTTATTATGTCAAGCCGAGCTCCTTGGAGAAGCCTGACCCTAGCTGATGATGCAGTGGATGCACTGCATTGCATTCAGTGAGCTGCTGGAGCTGCACCCCTGGGGATTTCATACCTCACCTGAGCTGTGGTTGCACCAAATGTAAAATATCAGAAATGACAATGACATTACTGTGGTGGTTTGACTTGTTATGCATTGCTTGATTGCAGGCAGCAAGGCATTGCAAGTTGTAACCTTGGTCTCTTGAAGCTCAATTTACCTTTTACACACAGTATTCATTACAACTAAACAGCAGTGGAATAGCATCTCAGGACAGCTCTCTAACTGAGAAGCAAGAGATAAAAGTATGATAAAATCTGTGGTTGGTCACAGCATGTAACAATGACATCTAAGACAAAATGCCAGCTCATATGACTTTGCAAATCATATAAAATTAGAAAACAGCTATAACGGTAAAGGTGAAGGTGTCAGGAGATGTGGTAGTGTTGGAGCATGGAAACTCTCAGCCTGGTGTATGTGGCACAGACACGCAGCAATGGAACTAGAGGAACCTGTCTTCTGTTTCTTTCTGGATTTTTCTAAATGCAGAAGCAGCAACTGAAGTTACTGTCATAGTTGGACCCAGTCTCCTCAGTTATCAGCAACACCTGTATTCACATGGGGAGGTTTGGCACTGAGTAGGCACACACTAGCCCGGAGTTGAGCTGGGAAGGAAATCCTTTTACGTGTAGAATGTAATACCCAGGGTTCTATGGGCTTCTTCTCAGATAGCACCAGTAATATTGTTGTGTCTTGTGTTTATTAGGTTTCCAAAAAAGTAATTCTGATGCTACCAGGAGAGCCAAGGGAAAGCCAGTCTGATAACTTTTAATTTTTCCATAACTAAAATGTGTGGAAGTTGAGCAGAAATGACTTTGAGAAACAGAAATGTTTTTGTTTTAGTTAGCTAAGGAATGCAGATAATTTATGTAAGGAAAAAAAGAGGTAGACAGGCCCTGTACCTGTACTTTAAAAGATGCATTCATATGAGTGTGTTGCCAGCTGTTCTTTGCCACCTGGACAAGGATTGTTAAGCAGATTACAAAAACCATGGTGTTGTAGCCTAATTTTAAAACATATTTACATTACCTTGTAATTCTCTTACGGAAGTTATTAGCTCACCTTAGTAGGTTGGCTTATAAGGAATTGTGTTGGTGGTTTAAAGCTCAAATGTAGGGCTTGGGATGTAAACTACGCTTCTAATACAGAGTAAACCTGACACGCTTGCAGCTCAATGTTGGAGGAAGGGAGATGGAGTCACAATGCACACTGGGTGCTATCCCTGCCATCCCTAACTGCACGCTGTGCCAGCAGCCTGTGGTGCCAGCTCAGGCACCCTAAAAGCTACATTTTCAACGTTAGCATTTGCTTTAGTGCTGCAGTGTGGACGAGGCTGTGTTTTCAGAATCGTACGTCTGTGGGCTTTGGCAGCGCCTCCTGGCAAGCAGTGCACAGAGACTCTCACATTAATGCTTTCAAAGTACTGTTTAAATTAAATGTACTTTCATGGGTCTCGATGTGAAGCCTTTTCTTAGAGCGTTTTTAATTCTTTTTCCTTGAGTTTTTTGTCTTCCTGTAGAAGTTATACAGAATGTACATGCTGTTCTAGGAGGGTTTCCATTTGATGGGAAGTCTGCTCACACGCTTCAGCTTTGTCTGACACTTCTTGCTCCTTTTCCAGTTTGGTAGAAAAGTCATTGTGTAACTCTGAGAGCATTTCAGCTGTT